TCATAATTCTTTTCTTCCATTCTCTATTGCATGGAATTGCTTAATGCTTTGTGTTGACTGGCCACCAATATAATGATTTGAAGTTAATTAGGTTATTAGCGACAGTGAAACCCTATTAACTGAATCTATTTCATGTGACATAGTAACTTATCGAAGCGACAGTGGATTAAATAAGGTACTATGCGGTCGTGATTGGGATATCGGTCTCTAGGTTAAATAATTAACTCAATGAGCTACAAGAGTAGGATTTGATTTAATTGTTTAGTACATAGTAATTCCCGACAGGGGTAGCTAGCATAGTAGTGATATCCTGGCTGTAGAGATATGGATTAAACTAATTGGAATATGTGAATTAATCTGGATAGGATAGGCAGTGAGTCTCAGTGTTTCTCCCAGAGCTTTCTCCATTGAAATTCTCCCGACAGTTTTCATTTGCTTAATTTGTTTAGTTTATTTTGATTTTAGAAATTAGTCTCATTAAACTATTTTCACTTATAGTTTGCTCATAGAATTGATATATTATAAGGTTGTACCAGTCCTGAGAGATGATACCCGGACTTTTTGGTTTTACTACGAAATAGGATTGAGGCATTACGCTTTTACCCTATCAATCGTACCACGAGAATCTAGGCTAACCCTACTTTAGCTTTAGGGTTCGTTATCTAGCCAAACTAGGGTAGTGATTTGAGAATTAAACTAACTAACCTAGCTAACCACTAGCCTACTATATACAATGTTGTGAGCTCTCTTGGGTTGAATCTTCCTAGCTCCGTCATAGGATCAATGTTGAGTACCATCCTAGCTCGATCGAATGACTATCCTAACGTTAGGAGATGATCTCCCTCGGGACGCACCCGAAAGGGTGAAGTGAGGGACGGATGGTGCTCTATTCAACCTAGGGCACCCCTATATCGTAGGAGCTTGATCCAATCGACTCCCTCGGGGATCGCCCGGACGATATAGGGAGAGGACTGACCCGAAGACTCCAAGAAAGGGGTTCTCAGGGGATTTTCTCCCTCGTAGGTTAAAAGCTCAAACATTAAAATGGAATCCAAGCTTATTCCATTCATGAAAACCATCCATCAAATAGATAATAAACACCATCAAACATGGAATTCGTCACATACATCAACACCCAATCAAAATCTACAACTAGGGTTGTTATTCCCAAGAGAAGAGAGAAATTACAAGTTGGAGCACAAGATCTTCTTCTTCTTCTAGTCTTGATTCCTTGCTTTCAAGCTTGATCAATGCCTTCAATTAAGCTCCATGATCACTCAAGTGGGCACAACACGATCACGTTCCACCTCGTCACCAGCCCCACATCAACGCGGTAGACTATTAACCCGCGTTGCTTAGCCCGACTCGCGCCCATGAGCCCACCTCCTTCGCAAGACCCGCCATCAACTCACGGATCGCACCACGCAACATGGGATCATCCAACTCCAACTCGAGGGCCCGCTTCAGGCACCTCCTTGCCACTCTACGCCCCCAGGCATCACGGCCCACTCACGGAAGATGGGCAAACCACCAATCACGGTTCCGCTTCATGCCTCCTCCGCGTCACTCTACCGCCCAAGCCTGCTATCCGACTCGCGGCCCAACGACACGCCAACAGTCCCCCCATGAGACCACCTCCTTCGCAAGACCCGCCATCAACTTACGGATCGCACCATGCAACATGGGATCTATCCAACTCCAACTCGCTGCCCACTCACGGTAGATGGGCGACCCATCGCTCCCGGGCCCGCTTCAGGCACCTCCGCGGCACTCTACGCCCCCAAGCATCACGGCCCACTCACGGAAGATGGGAAAACTACCAATCGTGGGTGCACTTCATGCCTCCTCCGCGTCACTCTACTGCCAAGCCTGCTATCCGACTCGCGGCCCAACGACACGCCAACTGTCCCACCATGCCCACTGAACTCCTCAAAAATAAAGTCGTTGCCGCCAGTACTTGAACCGCGACATCATTTAGCAAGACAAGCAAGTTGCTAGCAGACTACAAACCTGACATGTGCTCCTTTGGCGCAGTGACTGTTATTTTGACGCCTCTTCCCGCTGCTTCGCCAACGTAAGGCTAAGTACTTTATCCCTCTATCAATATTAAATTCTCAAACATTTTACTTTCATGAGCATTAATGGCGCTAATGAGGGGCAAGAAGTACCAAACCAGATGGGAGATGAGAAACTCAATCAAGCGACATATGATCACGACCCGTGCCTCGACTAGAAACGCCATGAAGAATCTACAATGGGTGAGGGCTAATAATCACGGCCAGCGCCTCGACTAGTCAATGCCATGCCCTCACCAAGTGCTCTACGACTTGAAGACTCCATACTGGGGGTAGAAAGACCCAGATGAGGAGAGCGCATGATGCCTTGAAAAAATCTACAATATGGGTGCGCTCGACTACCTCCATTCATGTAAGACTCGACTGAAGCACAAAAATAAGACTTCGACAAGAGCATTGGTGAATCTACAAACATACGAACGCTCGACTACCTCCATTCATGTAAGACACGACTGAAGCACACAAATAAGACTTCGATAAGAGCATCGGTGAATCTACAAAAATAGGAGTGCTCGACTACCTCCATTCATGTAAGACTCGACTGAAGCACACAAATAAGACTTCGACAAGAGCATTGGTGAATCTACAAATATGGGAGCGCTCGACTACCTCCATTCATGTAAGACTCGACTGAAGCACAAAAATAAGACTTCGACAAGAGCATTGGTGAATCTACAAACATACGAACGCTCGACTACCTCCATTCATGTAAGACACGACTGAAGCACACAAATAAGACTTCGATAAGAGCATCGGTGAATCTACAAACATAGGAGTGCTCGACTACCTCCATTCATGTAAGACTCGACTGAAGCACACAAATAAGACTTCGACAAGAGCATTGGTGAATCTACAAATATGGGAGCGCTCGACTACCTCCATTCATGTAAGACTCGACTGAAGCACACAAATAATACTTTGATAAGATCATTGGTGAATCTACAAATATGAGAGCGCTCGACTACCTCTATCTCCAATAAGGGCACTAAACGTGCGCTGTAATCCCGTAACGTAATCGTGCGGCTATCACGATCTCACCAATGAAAAATAACACACTTGTGTGCGCTGGAAGAACTCCAACATGAGAGCACATAATGCCTCGAAGAGCTTTAATGTAGGAGCGCTCAACGCCTTAGCTCTCAATACCATGAAGAGCTCAAATAGGAGAGCACATAATGCCTTGCATAATCTCCAACTAGCGAGAGCTTAGCGCTTTCAAAAACTACAATAGACGAGCGCTCAACACCTTGAAAAATATCCAATGAGAGAATGATTGTTTAACGCCTTAATGAAATCAACAACAGGGGGGCAAGACACATGAAGCTGGCACCGCGTCAGCTAAACGCGCCACCAGCTGGGGGGCAACTAGGGGTAGATAGGGCTCTCGCCCAAGAGGATCGCAAATTTTTTTTTTCCAGATAAAATAATACTAAGCTAGAGGTGAGTTAAAACTCACCCCTAGCTTGGGGGGCAATTGTTTGGGGTTAGTAAATACTCACACACAGACTAAGTAGTAGCGCTCCCAATTGACGACGCGCAATGCTCGATACCCGCTACATGTATATAAAGACTTGAAGCCCTCCAAGGTAAATGACTTCTTCTCTCTCCTCTCTTCCCACTTTTCACTATCTCTCTACACTTTATCTCTCTACATTATTCTCTCAACTATCATCTTAAACATAAACTGACTTGATCGTCAGAGGTTAATTCGGGGGCAACCTCGACTTTTCACAAGTTTCATCCCTCCCGTGAGTCAAACCCACACCAACAAATGATTATTGTTCATACCACGAGCTAGATGGTACAAACATAAAGGTTTCAGAGGTAGATAATAATAATATGTAGAGGCCCATGCTATATTTGTTGTGTACATGAAATTTTAGACGAAAATAATAATATTTACAGAGGCAGATGATATATCAGTTGTATATACGTTATATTTAGAGACTGATATATTATGTGTCACAAATATAAGTCGCTAAAGTCTTGATTTCTTGTAATGCGCGTTTGAATGATGATTTATATAATTCAGCCATATCTTTCATGACTGATTTGATCAAAAAGTGTGAAGTGGACGAGCGCAGCATCTACCTGTGATAGTAAGTATTTTTGTCGATGGTTAAACTTGTTTGGTGGTGGTTTAGTTTATTGTTTTATTGCATAAATGTTCCCAATACCAATGTGGTATTTAGTGGTACAAAGTGGTTTATGTATCACTCTCTTATGTGTAATGTTATTTTTATATTTTTGTTATTGATTGTACTTTTTTCTAATTTGTGTGTGAAGGGTTTAAGCCAAGAAAAGAGACGTTCAAGTCCTCGAAATGGCCAGGTCTAGTTGTTGAGATTGCAAGGTCGACTAACAGAAAGAGGAAATGAACTAGCAGACTGGAAGAAGAGAATTTGAAGGTTTTAGCGGAAAGTTTGAAGCTGAAGTTATGATAGTTATTTTGGCATTATGTGTTGTTGTTTTCTAGCATGTTGGGTAGAAATGTTTTGAAGTTGTTTGACTTGTTCAAATTTGTGTTCTTGAATTTGTATCTTTTTTTTTCTTCTAGGAAGTATTTCTAGTTATATATGTTGGATCGAATATTATAGATGAAACAAACATTTATTATTTTTTGTTTCCTCAAGTAATTCTTTTTCTTTTGATGTTATGAAGAAGAAGCTTATTTTCCCCCTTCGCTACAATGTGTATTGTTCTAGCTAGGTTAAGGATGGTGTTGCAAAGTCATCGCAAGAATATGAATTTAGAACTTTGGAAATAGATCGAAAGTGACACATTTAATAGTACTTAGATTGAAAGTATTGGCACATTTTGTATCACGTTTCGTATAGGATATCAAAGTATTTAACACTAATACATTGACATATTTGATAGAAAGGGCACTAATCAAAGTCCCCTTAGTTAAATTAACTTTGTAGGTAACGAAAAGGAAATTTAATCAACACAAATTTGATTGAGTGAGTGTGACGATAGAGTTTAAACATTAAACCCACCAAAATGACATATATTTAAGAAAGAACACAGACAATTAAGACAGTACGTAGTTGGGTTCCCGCCGGCCTGAACTTGGAAGTTGGAATTTGTAATGATCAAGGGATCATTTGATTTGGCGGAACTGAAGGCGGCACTTGCCATCAAACCGAATTCCGCCGCAAGCAAAGGCTCCGCATGGCTTCAAAAAACCCCGCGCTCTAGACAGACATGCTGAGCAGTCAAGGAAGGCGTCGCCGAAACAAGTGCCGGTTGCCGCCGCGGCGCCGCTGCAGCCCTTCGCCGGGTCCGTTGCTGTGTAGGTGATGTCGCCGGAGACTGCGTCTTCGCGCTCAGAAGCCGTAGTTTTCACCACATCGTCAAGAACAGCGTCAAGGCGAGCAGGGAAGTTACTCTGATCCTTGGACGGACCACAACCGCAAAACTTTGTATCAATATGATCATCTTTACCGGAAACGCTCACAGAATACGCCGCCACTATCATCACTACTATAACGGCAGCTCTCATCGTAGTATTCATCCTCTTTCTTCTATGATACTTTCTTGTTCACTATAATCGATTAGAGCTACGTAGCCGAGAAGATATATATACACATATGACCGAAATGACAGGATCTTCCCATCCAGGAAAAGACGATTCATTTTTGGCTGCCGACGACCAGGTTAACCACAACAATTACAATAGTGTACATTTGGCAGGCCTGTCAAACTAGCTATATTCACCCGTGTAAAACGAAAGCCAACCAATGTACTTGAACTTTGTACAGGTCTACGTATTAATAATATACCTTCCGTTCCAATCAACTGTTAATAATGAGAATCCAAAATATTTGAACACATTCACTTAGTCAAACTAGCACTGACATCATGTCGTAAATGATTTCGTCCCAATAACTTGAGTTGTTAAGAAAACTTAATTATGAATTTTATTATATGCACTACGTACATGAATACATACCCCGACAACTCAAGTAATATTAAATCTAAGCAATTGTTCAGCGCCGACCCAGGTAATATTCCGCCTAGTATGGACCCAAACTAGATACCTCTTGTACGCTTTTTGTTAATTTCTCCGGCGAGCCGGTCCAACTATATTCACCGGGCTAGAGGAATATTTACGTGTTCTTCGCTTTTTCATGTATTGTCCCCTATCCTATGTTTGGTTACTTCTACAAGAAATGCACTTATTATCATCATTGTGTAACGCAAGAGGTTAATATGTCGAAATACACTTAATTAATTATCCGAGCGAGCCGGTTCAACAGTACAATATACCCATTTAAATCCTGTAGGCTTTTTACCTCTAGAGTTGATCAGTATTTAAGAAAATCTTGCTATTTGGTTCAACGTAATAAGTCTACTTTTATGGATGAGTATAGTTCATGAAAGATGGTTATCCAAAGAATCATGAGATTTATATATCTACTAGAATTGACTCGCGCCTTGTCGCGGGCTACTCAACCATTGTGTTGTTGTAGTTGTCAATTGAAACTTAATTCCTTTTATGGTGATGTATATTTAAGATGATAATTTTTTTTTTAGAAAAATGGAAACTGTTTATTTGATATGTGTATATCTAACTAAACATTCTATGTATAATTGTTGAAAATTCTAGACCGGGTGAAAAAGAAAAACTCTAGAGAAACATAAGGAATATAAATTGGAACTCGCTTAAAATTTCACGCCTTCAAATCCCATAGTGGAAAATGACGACCTACTAATAAGTAGAAACCATATATATTTATTTTTAATTGGACAATATATTGAGTTGAAAAAGTTAGTGATTCATGGTTCAATTATTAATTCTATAGACGGTTGGTGAGTCGTGTATTGACCCGTTCTTACTTATGAATTAGAATACATTAAAATAGTATACTAATTAGGATTAGACAAAGAAGGCAAATAAAGAAATAAAGAAAAGGGATATGGAAGGCGAATGAAAATGGTTTTGACCAATTCTTTTCATTGGCCGTCAATACTACAGTCAACTCATTTACCGTAGCAATTTATTTACACTTGCTTATATAGATGTTGCACATTTTGTTACACGTAGTTAGTAGAAGTTTGTTTAGTACCCCGTAAATTTACTAAATGAGTTTATAAATTCGCTCTTATAATATTTTAAAGTCATCTCTCTTTTACCGTTTATTTAATGTTCAACGTACTAAACAAATATAAACATCTAATACACCTATTTTAAGGGATTGGTGATAATTCAATAATTTTTATATCTATATTCTTTTAAATTATAATTTTTATTACTGCTATTTTTTTAAAAATTTCTATTAAAATGTCATACGAAATTTTGTGCAGATCAATAATTTAACATACTCGTATTATATTTTACTAAATATATTGTCATGTTACTCAATAAAATGTTCTTTTAAAAAATTGTAATTATGTTTTCAAATGAATGACATACAAATTATTTTAAGTGAAAATCCCATCTAAATTTATACTTTTATGTTATGGTGGATTGGTAGAAGTTTGTTTAGTACCCGTAAATTTACTAAATGAGTTTATAAATTCGTTCTTACAATATTTTAAAGTCATCTCTCTTTTACCATTTATTCAATGCTCAACGTACTAAACAAACATAAACATCTAATACACCTATTTTAAGGGATTGGTGATAATTCAATAATTTTTATCTATATTCTTTAAAATTATGATTTTTATTACTGTTGTTTTTTAAAAATTGTTATATTAAAATGTCATACGAAATTTCGTGCATATCAATATTTTACTAAATATGTTGTCATGTTACCCAATAAAATGTTCTTTTAAAAAATTGTAATTATGTTTTCAAATGAATGACATACATATTTTTTTGAAGTGAAAATCCCATCTAAATTTATACTTTTATGTTATGGTGGATTGGTTCAAAAGAATTGGTGAATTGGATTCATGGATTCAAGTGAAATCTAAACATTGGGGTATCAAAATTTCATAAATCTGTAGGTACTAAAATCTCATAAAATTTAGATACCAAAATATAATATTCCAATTTTCCATTAAAAATTAAATCTGGGGTATCAAAATGTAAAATATATATTATGGTGACTAATATGTATATTATAGTGACTAATGTGAAATTTTTTTAGGTAACAGTAATCCTACTTCAACTTTATATATACTCACATCTAAAAGGTAAGAGGTTCAAGGTAGCTTGCTTCCAAGCCACTGCACTAGATGCGGATGTAGTCATAGTATAGTAGTCGGCCCAGAATGCCTCTGTTCTATACTAAAAGACTACTTCGGATGAATGGGGAATTACGTCGTTCTTTGATCCGCAGAATAAGGCCTACGAGCTCTCTGTTTTACTTAGATCTCTCCACACCAAATCACAATGGATCGAAGCTCTCATTTTTCTTCCAATTAGTGAAGCGGGAGTCGGGTCTGCTCTGATGGATAACAAGCGCTTAAAGGTAATTTGGTTTAGTAAAAATTCTTGTGAAAGCTACCATTAATAGCTTTAGCACGAACGACAGAAGGCTGGGTTCAAAGGACAGTCTTCCTTTTCACCTTCGGTGTAAAAGATTGAGTAGGCGGCAATCCAATCTCATGAAGAAGAGAGTTCAACCACAGGATTTCGGATGCAAGAGTGGCTAAGGCGCGATACTCAGCCTCTGTCGAAGAGCGAGCCAGAGCCCGTTGTAAGCTCCCCACAACTCAGCACTAGTTATTGAGCAGTCGCCAATGTGGTGAACAAAACCACATATGAAGTTTCCTAGAGAATCCCGAATAAGACCTCCCGAAACTCACTCACACGATCAAAAGAAAGCAGCTACGGGTTCAGTCGTTACATAAGGTATTGTTGATGCTGATTCGCCACTATTGTTCGATATTTCGTGCTTACTTTTGACCAGGATTCGAGATCTGGCTAGTGCTCCCAAGTGGATGCAATGTAGAAAAAGCATACTTTCTCTTTTTTCTTGGTATATCCATCCAGACCAAGGCAGATTAGAATACATTTCTGCACGAAGCAGGTAAACCAATGCGCCCGGATAAATAGAAAACAAGATGTGAAATACCTTACTTGAGAGCTCTAAAGCAGAGATATTAATATAAAAGGAAGCTGCAAAATAGAAATAGCAGACCTTTCCACCACAAGTCTCAACGAACCTTTTACTTACTCTGGAGATTTATCGCCCTTTTTTTTTAATCGTAACTTCCACTTCTGAAACCCAAGAAAGAGTTACCTTTGAGCCAACTGCGGGAAAGTCTCCTCCTTCTCTTGCTTTGGTCGAGTAGCTTTCTTCCTTCGCTTTTGAATAAAAAAGTGTTCTCTTTCTTTTCTCTGCTTATTCCGCCCAACGAATCGGCTTTCCGCTCGACAAAATAGTAAAATGTCCGATTAGGATATGTAGGGAAGAAGCTCAACGCATATTTCAGGATGACTTTCGTTTCATATTCCTTGCAAAATTCGAATAGGATTGAAAGAAAGGCTATGAATGTCAAATAGTTCCATAGGCGCTTTCGCCCGCCCTTGAATATCAAATAGTTCCATAGTCATGGCATAGCTTATAGCTTTAGTTGTCTTAGATGTTGTTTTCGTTAATGAATATAACTAGTATAAGACTCTAACTCTATAAAGGTAAATGTGTAGTGTATATTTATATTATTGAATTGTTGAAGTCATAAGTCATATAGTTCCGTCTTTATTGACTCTCCCATACTCCTATCATTCAAGGAATATCTTGGGAGCCGGAAAATTGTGCCTAATGTAAGGATCCCTTAGGATGCGTTCTATCCTAAGTCTCATTCGAAACCAATTAGGTAAGTTTTCTTAGCTCTAACTTATCAGCTTGCTGCTTAAGGATCAATGTTGAGATTAGACCATGCACATGAAAGCCTTCTTTTCGTCGGCTCATCGGATGGAATTGAAATCCCCCGCCAACATCCAATTATTAGTACCTTGTCTAGAAAGATAGTAGACGTCGAAGTAAATTTCTTCCCTTTCACATGCATGAGGGATGACATAGATTGTAGCGAAGTTCCACAGTTGAAAGCTCAAGCCCTGTATTGAAAAATTAACAAATTTAGAAGAGTGAGTCGCAATCGTTACAGATAAGTCAGATGGGTTCCAGAGGACCCAAATTCCAACACTGAATCCATGTGCATCAATTCGGAAACATGATTGAAACCCGATTTGATTGCACACTTCCTAGACATGATGTTTGCTAACCTGCGTCTTAAGAAGGACCACCATTGAAGGATGATGGTCCTTGATTAGATCGAATACCGCACGTCGCAATCTATCGTTACCGCACCACAACAATTCAACGCTAAAATTTTAAAAGACATAAAGAAATAATAATAAAAGAAAAGGTGTGGTCTAGAGCCGGCTGGGTCAGAGGCCTAAGCCTCCATGGAACTAATCGTATCATTGGACCCCTCCGAGTCCATCGCTTCAGTCGCAGCTTTAGCCTTTAGCGCCCCCTCATCTACCTGCATACGAGAATTAGGGGGTTGAGTGCAGTGGCTTGGAGATATACAATCCTCCGTAAGGGGTAAAGGAGGATCAGAGGAGTGTGAGAGGCTATTAGGAGTTTCAGGGAGCCTCTGAGATGACGGGGAGTTGTCAGGGATAGTTACTAATTGGGAGTTCGTATACTGGGGTCAAGTTACCGTATTTGGGCGGAAGTAAACAAAGCTAGAGGAGGAGGCTGGCCATAGTATTGGAGTCCTCTTAGTTGGCCCCACATCCTCCTAGGTTGGGGAACCAAGTTCCAGTGCCCCACTTTCACCAGAGGATATGCTAGACAAGCCACAAGAAAAGAATAATGAAGCAGAGTGAATACCAAGTGGTAGAACAGATGCACCGCACACCTGCTCGCATCTCGCTTCTGTCATTGATAATGCACTCAGAAGAGCTAAAAAGAAAGCCTTTTAAGACACGTTAATTAGCCCGTGAAAGGTATCCTATGAGAGTGGTGAAGGGAGGAAGTAGCTCGACCTTTTTAGTTCTCTTTTCCTTCTAGTGAAGTGCTCCCTTCCTATCTTTACCCATCCGCCATCAACCTTTCCCTCCCACCACGGGGCGCTCCATACCTGCAGATGATTTCCCTCTTGATAAATCTTGTCACTGTGGACTTTGGAACGTACGCATAAGAGTCGGCCTCAATCCATTTCGTGAAATAGTAAATGGCTACAAGTATGAAGCTGTGTCCATTGGAAGCTTTTGGAGTGATAGGCCCGATGACATCCATGCCCTACATAGAGAGCCATGGTGCATTGAGATGATCGCCGTACTCTTGGCATTTCTAGCACTTCCTGACATATTCATAGCACTCAGCCATTTATTCTTGCCAGTAAGACCCTGCTCTCAAAATCTTGCGGGCTATAGCATGCCCGGTAGCATGTGTTCCACAGACTCCCTCATGCACTTCTCTTATGATGTACCTGACTTCCTTAGAATCGTCACACCTCAGCAGGACGTTTCCGTAACCTCTTTTGTACAGAACCTTGCCACTCAGCACATACCCCGCAGCTAGCCTTCGTATTGTTCTCTTCTCATTTGAACTGGCACCCTCCGGATATTCCTTGTCTTCAATGTACCGCAAAATGTCATAGTACCACGGTTTCCCGTCAGTCTCGAAGATCACACTTGCGCATTCTGCACTAGCCCGGTGAGCAGATTCCTTTAGCACATTGACAACAACTGGCTGGACTTTGTCATCTGTCTCCAGCCTACGTTCCAACCAGTAGTAAGCAGCTAACCTTCCTCTAGCGCTTACGTTCCCGAAGTGTGGGAAAAGGTGAGCGCCTATCTTGAGCAGCATGGCTGGGCAGAACTTCCTTTTTTCCTCAGTGATTCCCCTCATCTCGTGGCTAGGAACATCTATGTAGAGGGGATTGTATTCATGGTGCCAGTTATAGGTAGGTAGGAACCTTCATGAATCTTATTCGCTAACAGATAGATAGCTCACTCTTATATATATATATAGAGTGCCTTCTACGGTACCCCGGGTGAAATCCGGGGTACCACATACCTTGAGTAAGAAAACGCTAACTAGACCTCGAATTAGCAGGATTTTTGGGCATGATACTATACCCTAACCCTTAATGAGTGAACCCTAGGTTCTAATTAAATTGATCTTGGGGTATAAGATTTAGAGAATCAAGACCTAGATTTTGATCTTTAAGGGTTAGAGTATAGTGTCATGTCCAAAAGATCAGTCAATTCAAGTTCTGGATAGCGTTTTCTTACTCAAGGTATGCGGTACCCCGGATTTCACCCTGGGTACCGTAGAACTCCATATATATATATAGGCTTTTGCTATACTATATAAATAGACCTTGCCCACCTCCCCCCACTCCTCCAGCTACTTATTATGCGTTAGTCAGTCAGGTTTAGCAAACCACATCTCTTAATCGAGAACATGGAAGAAATTTCAGGGGTTAGGACTCGGGTGGTATTATTGTTCTTGGTGCGAAGCCTTATTTTTTGTGATATGTTAGGGGACATATTTGTCACACACTTGAGCAATCAAATGTTATCATCAATCCTCTAGCACATCTGGTTTCAGCCATGTCGATGAAGTCTCCAGCAGATCCAAAGTGATATCTCGATACAGAGGCCATAAAGCACATGACTTTCTTTGTTGGCTCCTACTCTACCAGACATTGGTCGGCTTCGCGAAACCTTTTCGATCTACACATGGCTAAGCTCGATTAGGCCTTAGCTTACTGAATCAAATCCCGTACTTGATAAGATCAGCAATAAACATCTACGTACCTTTCTTCAAATAATATGAAAAGTATCTGGAGAGCTTCCATCCTTTCTCCTTTTTTATAATGAAAAGTCGCACGTGGATAGACCAGAAGGGAGTATGCCACATTTTGCCAAAGAAGGAAAGATCCGCCATATACTTCACCCGAGACTAATGAAAGGAAGCTTGCCCCATTGCTATAAGGAACAAAGCAAACAAGCAAAGCAAGAGAGACTTTTCCCGCAACGGGAAGGTAAGGGAGAGGTTAGAATATACTCGAACAAAGTGAGAGGTTATGCAATATGCTCAACTGAAAAGAGAGAGGGAATATGTTAGACCATAGGTTTATCATATGCTCAACCGATAGGGAGAGGAGGTTTAGTCGGTTGGGCCTGCTTTCCTATCATCTTTATCCCGAGGTGTAGTCTATAGTTCTTTATCCCTCGGTTCCGTGAGAGTAGGAACTCTATCCCGTTCGTTCGTTCCTCCAATCTCCACAAAGTGTTTTCCCGGGATTTTTGGCAGCAGCAATGGTCTTTCTGCCCGTCCCTTTTTTAATTTCAACTAAGCTTGGCACAGCCGCCTAAGAAATTAGGTCACGGTCGCGGATCAGGAGAGAGTTACTTGTGTGACGCATCTATATCTGGGGATGATCGGGAAGAATCTGGTAAGTTCGCTCTACACTGTCCCTTAGATTGGGAAGGACATAGGCTCGGCACATTTCGTAGCTATCATCGTCGCGTCCGTCAAATTCAGGCGTTGGTACATTATACTGGGTGGCAGCTTTTCGGTACACGGCCTTGCGTTGTCGTCAGCCGTACGCCGTTGAGCAGCAGTCTTTAGAAGCATGTCATCTATGAATGATCCGATGAAACGTCAGATGGAATAAAACCTAGCTTTTCGTCACGCGAATTAGCCGCCAGTCTTTGAGGTCGCCTTCCTTGCTTGACAGTATAGCCTGCGGGTGAAATCCTAATTGTCGTATTGTACATGGGAATGAAAATTGTGAGGACATTGAATGAGAAATCAAGACCATAAACACTTGACCACTTAAATTGTGGGTGTATTTTATAAATTTTGCTACCTTTGGGTCCCACTGGACCACTAAAATTATATCATATTAGATTCTGGTTTAATTATAAGCCCGGTGCCGTTTATTTTGATGATAACCACGTTCCACTAATAGTAATTATAAAATAAATGATTTTGTGAACGAATTCTTCTCGTCCTTATCTTCCAACATTGAACAAATCCTCTAATATGAAACCCGAAACTGTGATACTTCTCAACTTGGTCGTTGTTTGTAAATAATTCCAATTACGGTCGACTTTATATTGTTGAAGAAGTCCGATGACTAAGAGGTCGAAATCCAGACAAAATGTGGTGTCTACAAGGAGTCAGAGTTGGTGGTTGAGTGAACCACCCTTCATTGATTCCACTCCATCAAGACATACCCCAGTTCTAAGGCGACCTTTGACAGAACAAGACCACCGATTACTTTTCCAATACGGAAGACAAGGATTCTATCTCTTTTCGGTACCTTCCTCACAAGCGGTATCGAACAAGAAGAGCTGGAAGGGAAGTCGGACGGTAGGACTGTATTGCTCAAGAGCAGGATATTTATTTACAGGAAATAAGACGGGGATAAGCGCCCTATCCACCAACCAGTAACTGCAAAGAAATAGAAATAGCGAGATGATCCATCATAACGAGAATTTCCATTTGCATTACCAGAAGAAAGAAAGATGCAAGACGGATTGGTTACCGCCTTCGAAAGCTAATCGACTGATTCGAATAGCAGACATCAAAGGAAAGTCAGAGAAGAAGCAAGAGTCTAAAGTGGATGAATCCACAAAGTATTTCTACTTAGCTCGTCAAGCGAAGTAGCTATCAACGGCTTTAGCATGACAACTATAACATCAAGCCATGGTAAACTGCCAAAGCGTCTACTGTAGTGTAGCGCCTTTGCCAGACTTCCCAATTGACCACGCTGCGGGCGATGCACCCAGGCACTCCTCGTTGAGCAGAGGCATCATTCCTGGGTTGGGTTAGGAGCAGATAAAGAATCTGGTCTCATCCAAACAAACGACAAGTGGAAAGCGGATGAACAGTGGGCGGAAGCCAAACGAAGAAAAAGAGAATGGATCATGTCTTTCCAGCTGGGCCCCCACTAGAAAGAAAGTCGTAGCCCCCGATCCGTGCCCTTGGCCTTTGCCTAACTTCTTGGGGTTCATTTGCGACACTTGGTGTGGAATCTTCGTCTGCCTACCTGAGATGGTTTAATATTACGTGCTACTAGCTTTGAGTGTCAAATCATCCCGCCTTTCTTGCGTGCACGATTTGTCCCTTGTCTAAACATTGTCGAGCTTCTTTCTCCTGCATGCCAAATTCAAGAGTAAAAGTAAAGCGGAGTATTCACAGAAGAAGAACCGTACCGGCCCCGCTCTCAACATTACCTGTCGACTCTTTCTTCTCTTACGATATTTCCACGGGAGATAGAAAAGCACACGGTCTTTCCCTGCTCAAACTCTGATTCATCAGGCTTGGCGCCAAGTGCGTGGAAAGAATCCGTCCTTTTGCCTCTGTTTCCGCCTCGATTCGGGTAAGAGACCTGAATAATCTAGGCCCTATTCCCTTGCCTCTGGATTGAAAAGGAAGAAAAATCTAACAATTGTCGCAGTATTTGGATAGATGATGACTAGAAATTACTAAATCAACTACTCAGCAGCACACAATTTGGACTCCTTGGGCGGTCTCTGAAGGGCGCTTGGCGCCAAGATGAGGCCCATTGTAGAATCACAAAAAAGTATCTTTGAAAGCTAACTAGGAATAGAAAGCACAGAAGGAAGTAAGTTTTCCTTTTAGAATTACTTTTTCTTTCTCGATGCTTTGATTCAAGTTATTTATATAGTAAAGAGATTTTACCAGCTATTTTTCGACACAACAAACTATTTAGCAACAATAGGAATCTTTTTGAGTTAAGATATTATGTCGGGCCCGGCAAAAAAAAAGAGTGTAATGTTTATGGGGCGTACGTCTGGAACAAAAAGGTTCATCGTACAATTTCAGCGATTACAAAATAAGTATATCACTCTCCCTTAGTGTCTTTACACGTCTGTCGTTTACGAACAAATACTTTGCCTAATTCTCTTGAATCCCGCCCCGCTTTTTTCCCACTAACCAATTACATTACGACCACTGAACAAACTTGGTTGAAGAACATGGTTTATGCACCGCTAATGTAGCGGCTTGTGGACACACGAGCAATCCAACCCGTAGGATATCCTTTTTCTCTTTTGATTCTTACATCTGTAGTTTTGACGGTAATAGGGAGATCCACGAGAACTCTTACCCATATCTTACCATTTCTTCTGAATTGTCCGCTCATAGCACGATTGAATTTTCCGATTATAGCATGATGCTCTACTTCAATGGCTCGATACGAAAGACGACCAATTTAACAACTTTTAGTGCCATATCTTCCAAAATCAAGTTGTGTACCGTCCGTTTTACAACTCCTACTACATCTAACTTGACGTTATTTACTATATTTCGTATGTTTCTGATATAGTACGTTCCCCATTTTTTACTACAAAAAATCCACACTTTGACACATGAGATTCCTAACGAGTATGTATTTCTGCGGGAGCATAATCAATTTTCTGGTTAAATACAATATGTTTTTCCATACCTTCTGCAGTTAGTTCTAGCTATTTTTGTGCCTTTTGATGGACCTAAAGAGCATATATTGATCTCCTCCACCCCTTTTTTCATTACTATTGGAATATGCTTCACTATTTTGCTAAAAATGGAACGAAATGATCTTATTTTGTTCCTCAGCTGAAAAGACATGTACTTGAGCAATCAGAGAATCACTTTTGTAAATAGATTGAATCATGACCGAATCAATCTTATCTTATCTTACTATATATTATGGTTGTTCAAAAACAACTTCTTGCCACATAAGCACTTGAGAATTCACAAGTTGTCAAAGTGGACAATTTTTTTTACAAGCAAAAAATTTAGTTAATGAGTTATTTCTGAAGTTATCTCTCTCTCTTCTTTTAATAATTTTTTTCTTTTATTCAATAATTCTTTTTTGTTTTTGTATTATATCTATGTTTGTAGAAAAAGACTACTGTTTGTAGAGTGACATATCACATTTGTCAAAACAAAAAAAAAATCTTATTAAACTTTATCAAGTAAAATTTCTACTAATTTTAAACAAATATACACATAAACAATAATATTGAGCTTTGCTTGGAGAAATTGAAGGAACATGTATCACACTTGCAAAATCTGAGAAAATTAATCGATTAAACAAAATATAACGATGGAAATGAAGAAAATAATTGTTAGAAAATCAATATACTTTCGGAAACAAACTACGTTATTTTGTATTTTTGGCTATTAAACACTCTCTTATTTAGAGATGACAACCAAACACATGGCCGCAGTTGCCCAACTGCCTCCGACCCAGTCAATGCTTGGAATCTCCGCTTTGATTGGTTATAGGGATGGTATGGGTAAAACACGCAAAATTTTTGATGGAGATGGACAGATATGGTTTTGAAATCCCCCGCCCCATACCCATACCCGAACCCGACCCACCGAGGATCATCAGTTGTATGTAGAAAATATAACGAGTCATTGTAATTTGACAATGGAAGGAAGGGTAATTAAGAGAAAAACAAAGTGTTAAAATGTAATTGATGATGTATCAGTTCCATACTTTTGGGAAGGTAGTACCAATATTTTTTTACATATTTTTTTAAGGTGGGTAGCTGATGGGGCGGGTATTACCCATGGTATTTGAAAACCGCGGGTATTGAGATGGGTTTGTAAAACCTTCTACTGAATGAGTATGGGGCGGGTATGAGTTTAGGTATTTGAAAATGGGGATGAGGATGGTTTAGGCATACCCGACTCATTGTCGTCCTTACTCTTATTTCTAGTTAATATATCTATAAAATTAAAAAGTATTATATAGGAAAAGTTCTGGATAGAAACTTGATGATGTACAAGTATTATATGGCACGTGTGAATGTTAGAGAAATCTTTGTTGACGATGTACGATAAACATTATGTTTCATCAACCACTGACCTAGCATTAATCAAACATGGGTTGACAATTTTCGTTTAATAATTGAATGTCTTCTACATTAAAAGTCTTTATAGTTAGAAGACTCTAAACTGAGCTATTAGGTTAAAAATGAAGAATCTTTATAAGCATGAGATCAAGGCAATTCTAATAAGTCATTTGGTTGCGTGGTTGTGAGTATGTGACTCCAGGATCGCGTCAAAATATTAACCACTTCTCTGTTATCTTTAATAATTTTTTAAATATTTTCTTAATTAAAATAATAAAATTTTGAATATTGATTGTCACGTGTCTCCTCGAACTCATCATCATGTTGTTGAGTCAATACTACTAACAAAAATGCTAATGGGGGGTTAACGTTTGGCTAATACTTTGTATTTTGAAAGGTATGGTTGATACTTGATATATAAGTTTAAAAGTATGAAAGATTTGGTTAATAAATTGTATTTACTCTATTGTATAAGATACTCCATTTGAGTGTCTTGATAGACAAATTTTGACATAAGATCCTCTGCAGAAACTTAATGAACATTCACATAAACATGTGTCAAGATTAGATAAGTTTGATCATAATAAGGGTTACGGCGTGTGTCAAGTTTCACTTGGCATAAACACAATTTATCGAGTAATCAAGTATCTTTATCCAATAATCTGGACTCTAAATAATTGTTTGAGAGTTTGTCCTAACTCTAGAATAACGAAATTTTAGATGTTTTATAAGATTAGAAATTTGAATGGCTTGGTTGACAAACTATTGTATACAATTCTGAATGTGACGGGATAAACTTTTAAAATATGATTTATTATTAGAGCATCGAAACCTATGAACATCATAGGTAAGTATGTTAAATATTGAGAATTTTTAATATGAACATATAGTATACTCACTTATGAAGCGTGAGCCTAAAAAGTTAGAAGATTAAACAGATTGGACTTTGCTACGGTGAAATGCATGTCACCGTAATTTGCACTTTTAGGTCGACCTTATATAGGATTAGGTTGACCTAATGTGTCGTTTCAGTTTTGTGAGGTTCAACGACGCGGTTGGCCTTTTATAACAAATGGTCGACCTCTTTGGGAAGCGATGTGGGTGGTTCTTTTGCTCGTACAAATTATGTTTCAAACCAATAGAATTAGTCATAAATAATAATAACAAGGACTCATAACTTCATAACACAACAACTAAACAAACTATCAAGAAATACAATAAAATACAAATCATAATTGTTCACACATAACTAAAATCTAAAACCACATAATATCAATCCACAATCGTTTTTAACACTTAACAATAAAAACACACAATCTAAAATCGTCGAGTTCCTACTCCTGTCCCCTCTCTCCCTCATCCACATTTTCTTCATTGGTGTTACTAGCATTATGGTGGTTGGAAGTTAAGGTGACATGCATGTATCTTCCACTGAAAGATCGAAACTCATATCGCATCTCATTTACGGTCACCTGCAGTGTGCTCATCTGGATGGTCATTTACACCATGTAGTCGTACATGCCATCCATGCGCTTGCCAAGAGGTCGACCATTTGCTATAGAAGGTCAATCGCATCGTTGAACCTCACAAAACTGAAATGACATATTAGGTCGACATAATCTTATATAAGGTCGATGTAAAGTGCATATTAGGTCGACCTCATCCTATATAAGGTCGACCTAAAAGTGCAAGTTACGGTGACATGCATGTCACCATAGGCATACACAAAAAGATTTTACACAAATAGATAAATTAATTTATATAAATGATAAAATGAAATTTCCGGCCAACCAGCCAGGTAAAAAACTAGTTAAGGTATTAGTGTTTGTTCTAGTAGACCACAAAGATTGTTGCGGATATTAATTATTTAGTCAAAAAGTAATTACTTCCTTGTCCTCCAAGTCCCTTGTTTCCTTTTCCTGGTAAAAGAAGGAACTTGGTTGTCATTAGGGTTTTAACCCTACGTCTATCTCTACATAAGCTTTGCTACGAGATTGTCGTAAACAAGCCGTCAAAATGTAGTCCCTAATAAAACGTAAGCCGTGAGCTCTTTCGAGCACACCGTGAATTAGTCTCGATCAATCCATCGATCGAGAATACCGCGTAAATCTCTTATGTTGTGTGTTCTTTTAATTCCGTGTCATCAAATTCTTCAAAGATCTTTTTTTTTTAATTTTGTTCAAATAAGAGTTGTACCCGTATGGAATTCTTCTTTTTCACAGTATGATCTCTATCATCATCTCTATTCCCTTTTTCAATTCTCCTATCCCACTTAGGTTTCTAAATTTCTTTAACAATTCCATGATTATTTGGATAACCATCTTTCATGAACTATACTCATCCATAAAAGTAGACTTATTACGTTGATCCAAATAGCAAGATTTTCTTAAACACTGATAAACTCTAGAGATAAAAAGCCCACAGGATTTAAATGGGTATATTGTACTGTTGAACCGGCTCGCTCGGATAATTAATTAAGTGTATTTCGACATATTAACCTCTTGCGTTACACAATGATGATAATAAGTGCATTTCTTGTAGAAGTAACCAAACATAGGATAGGGGACAATACATGAAAAAGCGAAGAACACGTAAATATTCCTCTAGCCCGGTGAATATAGTTGGACCGGCTCGCCGGAGAAATTAACAAAAAGCGTACAAGAGGTATCTAGTTTGGGTCCATACTAGGCGGAATATTACCTGGGTCGGCGCTGAACAATTGCTTAGATTTAATATGGGTTAATTGCATGGTTGGTCACTGAAATTACAAAAAATGTTTAAGTTTGGTCACTCGAAATATTTAAATCCATTGGTGGTACTTCAATTTACTGAAACCGTTCACGTTTGGTCACTCTTCGTCCAACTCCATTAACTTTTGTTTACGTGGCGGTCAACTTTAAAAGTTGACCGTTAAGTGAGTGATGTGGCAATTAAAAAATTAATAAAATAATAAAAATTAATATTTTATAATTTCCACCTCATTTCTAACTATTAAAAAGATAAAAATAAAATCATAAATTATTAAAATTAAAAACAAACGTAGAAAGTTGACAGCCACCACCACCGGGTTAAGCTACTCAGGCTCAAGCAGCGACATCTCTCTTACTTTCCCTTTTTTCAAACGCTCTCACCTCTCTCTAGCCTCCTTTTCTATATGGCGATGGGGTGCCGCCGGTTTTCACTTTTTTGGTGACCGGCGGCCACCGAACCCCCTCCTTTTCTGCGATTTTCTTTTTGCCCCAGTCACCTTGACTTTCTCTTCATCTCCTCCGTTCATCTCCTTCCGCCTTCTTTCTTTCCCGGGGTCTTTTTTTGTTTTTTCCTTCCGTTTCCTTCTTCGCTCTGTTTGTTGTTTCCGGCCATGTCTTGGCTCTCTCTTCCCCTTTGTGGTTTTCCTTTGCCCCCTTTGTGGGTTGATTTTGTTGTCCTCCGATTTGGTTTCCAGATCTGGAGAGGCTTGTCCCGTTCAGGATGCGATGGAGGTTGGATCTGACAGATCCGACTTGTCTTCTCCTCTCCTCTTCTTTGGTCTACCCCCTTGTTTTGCCCTGCAGTTCTTGGCGATCCGGAGATGCAGCCCTTGGCGAGGATCCGGATAGGAGAGCTTGAAGACTGGTGTATTCTAACTCTCTGCCTCCGCCGGCCGTCCGGTTATTCTGCTCGGATCTCGTGGTAATCGGCGAGAAGTGCGTGGTGATCGGCTCGGGACGAGATGTTTCGGTGGTTGTTTCCTCCTCATCTTGCCTTCTGGGTCTGGTGGGTACCCAAACAATTCCTTGGCTCACGGCGACGCTCAAAGGATGGGTGGCGGCGACTTGTCGGGAGCGGTGGTGGTGCTTGCAGCGGCGGTGGAGGTTCAGAGGGGGCACGTTGGCGGCTAGGGTTTGGGAATGCTCTTGTTCGGGCTTTTTCTTTTCCTTTCTGCTTTTGTTGCTTGTACACTTCCTTTGTGGGCTCGGCCCAGTCGTTTATCCTAATGAACTCATCTTTCAAAAAAAAAAAAAACCACCACCGGGTCATGGATCCGGGTCAAAATGTCATGGATTCGACCCGCCGAGAATCAGGTCGGCTTGGTCCACAGATCCCCCGCTGACGCGGTTGGGGTCGCGATGAAGATACCATTTTCGAAGTAGCCCGGACGGAGCGGCGGGCGGAGGCGGGACCGGCGTCTGCGGGCATTTCAGCGGAGGAGGATCAGGCGCGTTATGGCGGTAGTTCGGGCTCGCAGTTGTTAACGTAATCGATGCCAGACTAATTGACGCTGAGAGCAAAGTCCTAGACAGATCTTCAATGGGGAAGATCTGTTCTGGGCAATTCGTGGCGGTGGAGGGAACACTTTTGGAGTAGTCACAGCTTGGAAAATCAATTTAACCAGGACGGTGGAAGAAAACGCGACGGAGCTCGTCCACCGGTGGCAATACGCGGCGGACAAGCTGCCTGAGGCCTATCCAACACAATTGTGGAAGTCCTACCTACCAACTCTTTCAACCCAATTAGATCTGGAAATGTCTAACAAACCTACACACTCCTCATGGAAATCCTCTAGCAATTAGCACCATATAGAAACACTGTCGGTTTCCTCCTTTTTCCCAATCAAGCAGGCAAATTTCAAGGCTTATATCTAGGGGAAATTGAAACTCTGCTTCCCCTGTTTGATGACAAATTCTCAGAGCTTGGTCTATCAGAGGGAGACTGCATCTAAATGAGTTGGATCGATTCGGTTTTGTATTTTCTCGGGCACGACCTGAGTTCCGAACTGGCAGAGACCCTGCTGAGGAGGACCGGGCAGTCGGCGAGGAAAGTAAAATCGAAGTCCGTTTTTGTGCAGGAGCCTCTCATGTGGAAGGGATTTGGAGAATTCTGGCTGATATTGGATTGGCATCACTCCTAATTAATTTTTTTTAATAATTAAAAATGAGGTGGAAATTATAAAATATTATTTTATTAATTTTTTAATTGCCACATCACTCACTTAACGGTCAACTTTTAAAGTTGACCGCCACGTAAGCAAAAGTTAACGGAGTTGGACGGAGAGTGACCAAACGTGAACGGTTTCAGTAAATTGAAATACCACCAATGGATTTAAATATTTCGAGTGATCAAACTTGAACTTTTTTGTAATCTCAGTGATCAACCATGCAATTAACCCGATTTAATATTACTTGAGTTGTCGGGGTATGTATTCATGTATGTAGTAAAGTGCGCATAGAATAATAAAATTCATAATTAAGGTTTCTTAACAACTCATGTTATTGGGACGAAATCATTTACAACATGATATCAGTGCTAGTTTAATCAAGCGAATGTGTTCAAATTTCTCGAACACTCAATATTAATAGTTGATTGGAACAGAAGGTATAGTATTAGTACATAAACCTGTACAAAGTTCAAGTACATGAGTTGGCTTTCGTTTTACACTTGTGAATATATAGCTAGTTTGACTGGCCTGCCAAACGTACACTATTGTAATTGTTGTGGTTAACCTGGTCGTCGGCAGCCAAAAATGAATCGTCTTTTCCTGGATGGGAAGATCCCGTCATTCCGGTCATATGTGTATATATATCTTCTCGGCTACGTAGCTCTAATCGATTATAGTGAGCAAGAAAGTATCATAGAAGAGAGAAGATGAATACTACGATGAGAGCCGCCGTTATAGTAGTGATGATAGTGGCGGCGTATTCTGTGAGCGTTTCCGGTAAAGATGAGGATATTGATACAAAGTTTTGCGGTTGTGGTCCGTCCAAGGATCAGAATAACTTCCCTGCTCGCCTTGACGCTGTTCTTGACGATGTGGTGAAAACTACGGCTTCTCAGCGTGAAGACGCAGTCTCCGGCGACATCACCTACACAGCGACGGACCCGGCGAAGGGCCGCAGCGGCGCCGCCGCGGCAACCAGCACTTGTTTCGGCGACGCCTTCCTTGACTGCTCAGCATGTCTGTCTAGAGCGCGGGGTTTTCTGAAGCCATGCGGAGCCTTTGCATGCGGCGGAATTCGGTTTGATGGCAAGTGCCGCCTTCAGTTCCGCCAAATCAAATGATCCCTTGATCATTACAAATTCCAACTTCTAAGTTCAGGCCGGCGGGAACCCAACTACGTACTGTCTTAATTGTCTGTGTTCTTTCTTAAATATATGTCATTTTGGTGGGTTTAATGTTTAAACTCTATCGTCACACTCACTCAATCAAATTTGTGTTGATTAAATTTCCTATTCGTTACCTAGAAAGTTAATTTAAATAAGGGGACTTTGATTAGTGCCCTTTCTATCAAATATTTCAATGTATTAGTGTTAAATACTTTGATATTCTAAACAAAACGTGATACAAAACGTGCCAATACTTTCGATCTAAGTACTATTAAATGTGTCACTTTCGATCTATTTCCAAAGTTCTAAATTCATATTCTTGCGATGACTTTGCAACACCATCCTTAACCTAGCTAGAACAATACACATTGTAGCGAAGTGGGGAAAATAAGCTTCTCCTTCATAACATCAAAAGAAAAACAATTACTTGAGGAAACAAAAAATAATAAATGTTTGTTTCATCTATAATATTCGATCCAACATATATAACTAGAAATACTCCCTAGAAAAAAAAAAGATACAAATTCAAGAACACATAAATTTGAACAAGTCAAACAACTTCAAAACATTTCTACACAACATGCTAGAAAACAACAACACATAATGCCAAAATAACTATCATTACTTCAACTTCAAACTTTCCGCTAAAACCTTCAAATTCTCTGCTTCCAGTCTACTACTTCATTTCCTCTTTCTGTTAGTCGACCTTGCAAATTCTCTGCTTCCAGTCTGCTAGTTCATTTCCTCGTTTATTTTTCTCCCTTTGAAATATAAGAATAAGAATTTTCATCCCAGAATTAGCGTCGCATGAACTCTGTTCGTCCTCTCCTTCTCCGTCAGTGGAAGATTTTCTTCTTCAACAAGTCCCCACCGCCTGCCCTTTCACACAATAGTTTCCCGTGGTCATATCAGTTATAATAATATCCGTTATTGGTCACTTTTTCTCGGTCTCTATCATTATCACCAAGCAACTTCAAATGATCTCGCCACTACAAACTCAAAGATAGATAGATAGAATAGTTTGATTCTAAGATTTTTTTTTTTTTTTTGCTTCTTCTAGATTTTTGTTCTATTGATTCTCTACTATGATTGAATGGTTCATTGATTTTTGGAAGCTGTAAGTGGAGAGATCATGACTTGGCTTTACTGGGAAGATAGAAGATCATATCAGAGAAGCAAACTATTGGCTTTACTACTTGACGACTCTTCCTCACGACGGTGGATATAGAGACCGACGACGACACCGCCGCACCGGGCAATTGGAAAAATAGATACTTGCAATAGTATTCTAATTGTAGAAGAAAACAATGGGCTATAAATCAGCTATATATATTGCCACGAATATTCTTATAAATGATACAAAAGGAAATAATTTAACTGAAACAAAATGAGATCATTAAATGAATAAAAATTATTAATTACTTTAAATTAAATTTATTTATCACTTAAACCTACTATTACTATCCAACATATTTGTCACTAGTAGTACCATTAGTAGCACATATTATGCCTCTAGAAGGAGAAAATAAGACTGAATATAATCCTACAAACTGAAATTAGCAACTAATATATTTGCTGCAAATTCCTTAATTAGCAGCAAATAAATTTTGCTGCTATAACTCTACTATTTGCCTCTAAAGAAAATTAGCAATAACAGTATTGGTGTCACATCTTTATGGGCCTCTAATAAGATATAAAGCACATAAATGACTTATAGTGGCATATACACTCTACCACAAAATACTAGTTTTTCTTGTAGTGACGGCCCACTGATCATTGATGCAAAACAACTGAAAGATGCAAAATACGAGATTGATGCTTCACTGGACTATCACTAGATGCCATTTCAAATCCAAAATTACCACCATTTTTTATGCCCTCATCCACCGTTTCATGATTAATGTAGAAGGAAGGTTCTCGAACTTCACATTTCATGTTGTAGACCATAACATGTCATATGCCCCGCATTGATGGTTGCACAGAACACCACTCAACTCCCACTTCCGGCATGAAAACTTGATTTCATCATAGCCAAAATCAACCATCAACAACCTAGTATCAAACCCTGAAAGGTTTGGTACCAATGTGAAGACATCAAATGTCCTTCCATTTCTTTCTTGTACTAACTAGTATTAGAAAACAATATTATTATTATACTACTCCTAGAATAAACCAAATATTTTCGCCGTTTATATATAACAGCAACCCGCTTCACAAGAGCACTACACAAGAAATAAGAATTAGTTAACCTAGAAATTAAGTAGTACTCTTTTTGTTCTTCAACATCCTTCTTATTATCAAACATCCTCTCAAGCGAATAAATAATTTATCATGCTCAATTCTGGTTGCAAGTAATATTGAATGTTACTTTTTTTACATACTCACTTATTTATGTATAGTTTTCTTCAATACCACATTTTCACTTCTTTCAAGCATTCATTGTTAATGGAATGTTTAACACTTGTCCCTGAATTTATGTGGATTTAAAATTCAAAATCAATCAGCCAAACTTCAAAATTCATTTCCATTGCAGTTTCATCAATTTTGCTAAGACGAATAAGGTCGTGGATGAGTGATCGTACCACTTGGTTTTAGCTTGAAGGTTCAAATCCCAGGGACTTACCCCCTCTTCCACTCCTCTAGTAACACCTTGTAAGAGCCTAACAGGTCTCTATAACAAAAAGCAAAAAAGAAAAAAAAAATCATTTTATTGTTATAGTCTTAGTTTTATAGAGCAAGCAGTGCAGAAGACTTATCTAATTCCACCAACGAACCAAGAACTACTGCTATCCTTTTTCGCGGTAACACATGCTTAAAGCTAAAGCAAACTAACCAAACCCAACCCACCACCATATCTTTATTCCTTCCTCCCTCTTTTCATGATATCTTCCGGATACATAACCGTTGCACAACGGAACACCCAAAATTTCAACAATGTCCCCAACATTCAAATTATTAAAAAGAATGTACAGTTATCAATTATATACCCATTGCCCTTTACGCATCCATCTTCAACACCACATGATCAAGTATATAAGCATATCACCATACCCACCCTCTGTTTCTCAAACTTCCCCCAATCATCATAACCAACAATGGGTTGCTGCGCCAGCAAGTGCAAGCCCAGGAAGCCGAATTTCGCCGCCGCCGCAGAAGAATTCCGCTATGTCCAGGACAAGCTCGTCGTCTCCCAACAACCGCCCATCGCCAGAACTCCACCAATCTTCCACTATCACCACCTTCCCTCCAACAGAATCTCCCCCATCTTCCCTCTTTCACCCACTGCTTCTTCTTCTTCCGATTCACTTCCTTCCTTCAGCCGCAGCCTCCGTCGCGGAAGCCTCAACTCCACTACCTCGACCACGACCAGCAACAGTAGCTCTAGCTCCTCCGTCTTAACATCGAAAGATCGCTCATTTTCCAACGAGTTCCTGTGGTCTTGCCTCAAGGAGAATCCCCACGTTATCTATTTGAATTCCATCAAGGAATGCGCCAATAAGCTGCCAGAGTCCCCTGTTCCGAAACAGGGGAAAAAACAGAGTGTAAGGGGATGCTCAATCGCCACGCCCCAAAAAAGGGTCCGTTCTAGCTCGCCGGTTCCTCCATTAACTAGACAGAAGTCCTTCCGGAGAGAGGAGGGACACGCCGGAAGTAGAATGGTGATGCGGTCGCCATCTCCGAGCAGGAGGTTCTGGGATGCAGAGTACTTGGACAGGGGAATCCAGACGATTACGGGCGAGGAGATGTTTTCGAAGCCGATTGTGGGAAATCGTCAGGCGAGTGCGGCCAGCTTGATGTCTCCATATGTGGAGAAGGGCGAGGTTTTGAAACCGGCGGCGGGTAGTTGTTTGAAGAGGAACAAAGAGACATGTATTCACCGTATTACCTCCAAGATCGACGAGTTGGCAGTTGCGGAAGCGATGGCTCGGCATGAAGGCCAGAGTGATGCAGTGGAAGACATTGATAACCCTCTCATTTCCTTAGATTGCTTCATTTTTCTCTGAGCACATATTTTTCTTTTGTGTTCCGTATGCTTGAAAGCTCGTGGGCAGTGGGCAAACTGCAGTCACATTCGGCTGTTCATAGTTCTTTATTTTCTGTTTTATACGTACGTTTGATTAATATTCGGTTGTTCGTAAAGTATTAAGCTTTACCGTTGATTTTCTCTCTAAAATATGCATCACTTGGGAATTTGCATCAACTATATATTTTATGAGAAATCTGGTTCATTTCATTAAGTGAAAAAATATATAGCCCAAGGCCCAAATCAGCATCAATCATACAACAAAGGGAAAAGGGAGGGTTATCAACCCAAACCACTTGCTGATCCCACCCCAACCCAATGTGAGCCAACCAGTGGGCCACAACATTTGTCTTTCTCGGTCGAAAATCCCATCTCACTTCACATCCCGACAGGGATTCATTCACTCTAGTCAGCCGTTTCAGCTCATCGCACCAAAAACCCAGCTCAGTTCTATCTTCATTTCCTTTCCTCAATTGATTCATCAAGACCTGGCAATCTGATTCAACAATCAAGGGACTAAGCTCTCTGTGGTTTGCTTCCCTTAAGCCTATGACCAGGCTTTTCGCCTCTGCTTCAATCGATCTACAGATTCCTTTCTCCCTCTTCGCCATCGCCCCCACAAAAGCTCCTCGCCAGTCACGAATGATACATCCCAAACCAATCCCTCGATCTTTTATCACCCCAGCATTGGAATTCAGCTTGTATACACCCATTTGAATTCAGCATGACGAAAGTGAAGCAGAAGGAGTTCTTGATCATTTCCCAGGGGTGATACCACATGAAGAAGAAAGGGAGGTTGAAGAAGCAATTGTCGTCCAGGCTGAGGACGGAGTTAAGGTGGAAGAGGCCTGCACCGGCCATGAGTTACATGTGATATCTCCACCAGACTTCGAGGAACTGCTTAGCAAGGACCCATTTGCAGTGTCTCTTTGCCAGACCAAGGCCACATCAACATCGGTCCCTCTTGGTGGACGCGATGGTGGCCAATCGATGCTGTCATATCTGGTTCGGGGTAATGAGACGAGAGAAGAGAGGAAGAGGTCTCGAGGGTGGAGACTTCATATGCATCAAGTGCACGAGCTTCCATCACCTGTCATACCACATGCTCGTGACTTAAGACTCCACCTCATTGACGAGAACCTCAACTTCAAGGAGGTTTTGGGGTGGACCGAAACTTAGGAGCCATCGTCCGGCTCACGATGTGAAAGAAGCGCTTGTTGGGAGGCAACCCAACCAGTCGGTTTGCATTTCTTTCTCTATTTCCCCTCGGTTGAGTCAGTTTTGTTTTTTTGATTTTAGAGTCAATAACTCAACCTTTGTGAGATTTTGTATGGTGTTTGTGTTCCGACTACTCTCTCCGCCTGGAATGCACCGCCTGCCCCGTCCACCATCATTCACCCTTGATCTGGTAACTTCGTTCTACCCTCCTTATCTTTCCTCCATTGAGGATAATGTCGTGCTTAAGTGTGGGGGGATGTTCGATTATGTATGTGGGTGAATGTTTGGCTGTTTGTGTGCTTGGAGCCTAGTCCACTGTCCAAGGGCACCAAGTCCGTGTTCCTTGCAATTGCCTACTCAGTATGCTTTGAATTGACAGTCTCTATAGTAATGTGCAACCTAGGGAGGTAGTGTATCACTATGGAGGATGTTGATGCATTTAAGAAGTCTCCTTTCTTATTCATATTGTGTTGGTTGATTGTGTGAATTAGTGATCTTAGGATCCTTGAATTGTGTGGTGTTGTGGACTCTCTACCCATCATGGACTCCTGTATCATGTTTTGAAATAAAAGGTGCTCGAAAATGTGCTTTAAAATAACTTCTCCCGTGCGAATAGGGCGAAAGTGTGTAAGGGGAGACGGGAATCCGTTCCCAATTTCCACCTACTACCTCCAGCCCCCTTACATTCCTTTCCCCCGCACGAGGCTCGAGACATCCGCTCCTGGCATGGCCGGTAAGAGCCGGGCTCCCGTAAAACCTCTGCTAGGTGGGAGCCCCCATTTTTTTTGAAAAACAGGTTGGAACCCTTGAAAAGAAAAAGGAAAAAAAAAAAAGAAAAACAAGAAAAAAGAAAGAAAATGGGTTCCAACCATCTTCAAGAAGAAAATAGAGCACCTTAAAAATGCGAGTCCATGATCTTTTGTTTTTGAGAGTCCATTCGTCCACGATTCATTTGTCCTCTAATCACTATTCGCCATGATACCGACTCGAGACTAGCGTTCTCGCCGAAGAAGCTATGAGATGACTTGTGCATCGGTTGACCTCGTAAGCTGCTAAATGATCTAGAAAATCCCCTATCAACGATCGAGGGTGCATGTTGCTTTAGCGGTCTGGATAGCTGCATTGGTTTGAGTTAGGTTTGCTTGGGGACAAGCAAACGGTTAAGTGTGGGGGGATTTGATGACTCGATATTTGCACATGTTTCCCCTTTGTTTCTTGATCGTTTGAGCTTTAATTATCGCATCTTTAGCCTATTTTACGCTAGGTTGTGTTCCTTTGTCACATTTCAGGTCCTAGCACATAAAGTGAAGCATAGGCGCAAGTTTCAAGTCAATCAGAGATCAATTGGCGATTAAGGAGAAGAAACCTGGGCATGACCTGAAGAAGAATGGATTTCTACCTCACTTTATGGAAAAAGAATCATGCAAGCTTGTCATGAAAAGAAAGAGGACGAGACTATGAGCTTCTGGGATAAAACGGCGACTGATTCAGAGTCCGGACGTGGGAGAAACGAAGCATTGAATATAGGGGAACATGTTCGGCAGTAAAAACACGGGCGCACCTAAATCAAAATACAGCCGTGTCCATATTTAGGCACGACCGTGTTTTAGCCGACGCGCGCGAGCGTGTTTTTAACACGGGTCAAAACACAGGCGGGCAAAAGCAAAACAAGGTCGTGTCCGCGACCGTGTTTTACCCAGAATCGGGTTTTTTTAGGCAGATTCAAGCCAAAAGAGAGGGAGAGCTGGGTTTTGGAACCCAAACACCCAAGGGACGAACCAAAGAGAGAGAGGGCAATTTGAGGGCATTCTTGGAGTGGAACTGGAGGATTTCTTCGCCTTGGAAGCTCGAGGAATAAGCCCGGACTTGAAGACTGATCATCTGAAGATTCTTACTGCAGTCTCTCTCTTCTCTATGGAGTAACTTCCCTTCACTTAGGTTTTGAGGAACCCTAGCTATGTTTGTTTGATTGGATGATTGTATGAGTACTCTGACTTGATACCTTGAGTTCATATTCAATCTATGCATATTTTCATGATTCAATTCTTCTTTAGTCGAGATTATTGATTCTGCTTTGATCCTATGAGAGCGAATACCTGATTAGGTCAATAGAGCACCATAGATTGATAGTAATGGATCGATTGCTTTAGTCAAGGGTTGATTCACTGCTTTGTATCGATTGAGAACCTCTTTCGATAGAGGGAATCTAGTTCAGAACGCCTTCATCAGTTGTCCTAGAGAAGGATACGTCCCTCTAGGCAATTGACTCAAGAGGGCCTTGTTCCTTCAAGTCGAGACTCAAGGTCTAGTCAAGGATTCTCCGCATTGTGAATGAAAGTGAAACAAGTTAGAAATCATCAATCATTAGTCTGGCTAGTGGCTAGGGGGAATCATACCTAAGTGAGTTCCCAACCTGTAATTAGATTAACTTTAACTGTAGTTTACTAGAGTAGTTTTAGTTCTACATCTTAATCTGGTTTGCTAAATAATAAACTGAAGCTGAGTAATAGTAACTCTAGAGACCCGTGGATTCGATATTTATTACTTGAGCCACTATACTGCAGTTCCTTTCATTGGTTACACTTGGCCATTGTTAGGTGATGCTCTAAAACACAACACCAAACTGCGACCAAGTATAATCGCAGTCCGGGAATGCAGTAAAGTGACAAGTTATATTATCCACCCGGGGTCTAGATCTACTGCTTACTCAGTGGTTCTCTATTATCTTGCCAACTAAGTTAAGTGTTTGTTGTGTAAAAGCAAAAGCAGAAAGAAAGCAGGAATTGATACGGTTTTCTCAAGCAGGTAAGAGTCACTCGGGAATGAGTCCCCCTATCTCCTTAGTTAGGTTTCAATTGTATTTCCCTAGGTTGATTTACTGTTGATTAGACTGCGGAAGATCCGACAGTAGCTTGGAATCTCTTAAGCTGACCAAGCCCTCTCAGTCTAACTACCCGGCAGACGACTAGTCTTCACCGGGATAGAAAGCTGAAGCAGTAAGAACAGAACTCCACTACTGGAATTGGATTCCAGTACAAAGCAGTAAACTGGCTAACTCTCGTATAGCCAATCTCCTACTACCGAATGATGAGACTCTAGCAACCTAATCAGATTCTATCTATCTCAGATTGCAGCAGGAATCCGGAGAAGTTGATCAGACTTCAATTGACTCAATAAACATGCATCATTCGATTAAAATCAAATAGTAATATCATCCCAAGTCATTACAATCAATCCCTAACACATAGAACTAGGGTTCTTCATCTCCAAGTGAGAGAGAGGTTCTACTCCATAGAGAGAGAGAGGAAAACAAGGTACAAAGCAGTCATACTCATTACAATGGGAAGAATCTGCTCTGGGATGATGATTTCCACTCCTATGACGATCTCCAAGCTCGATTTGATGAAACCCAGCTCCAAGATAGCTTCTAGGATGTGTTCTTCGTACTTTCTCTCTCTAGGGCTCTGTTTTTGGTCTCAAAACTCGATTCTCTCTCTTGCAGCCCGAAATTGGGTTAAAACCAGGAATTCCCGACTCACATGGGCAGGGCCACACGGCCGTGTGGCATACCCAGTTGCACGTGTGACTTCAAAACGCCGCGTATCGATTAATTGGACTTTAGTCAACCTACACGGCCAGGGTCACACGCCCGTGTGGATCACCCTGCCTGGCCGTGTGAAGCCTCGCAGAATTCCACACGGCCAAAGTGGCCTTTTGCACGGCCGTGTGGATTCTTCTTGTGCCCGTGTTAGTGCTCGCACAATCCCACACGCCCAAATTGGTCACTGGCACGGTCGTGTGGGTCTTGTGCCTGCCCGTGTGGCTTCCTTTGTGACTTGCCTCGCGTCCGATCTTCGCCCAATCGACCCCGAACTCGCTCCTAAACCTTCATTCACTTGCTAGGACCTGAAAT